TGCATCTGAGCCTCCAAGGAGAGAAGCAGGAGGAGAACTGTGCCAAAGGAACTCACTCCACGCATTATGCCCACTTCTGGGAGTCCCCGGAGGAACTAGGCATCTTCACCACGGAAGAGTTTAGAAGCCCAGAGGTCAAGCAAGAGCTAGACGGCAGGCAGTGCCCGCTCAGCCGGTCCAGAACGTCTGGCCCTCTCCACTCCTTTCAGGGGCCCCATTCCCGCCACCTTTGGATCCTCACTCTGCGGCCACAGCCATGCGCTCTCTCGGTACCACGCGCGCGCCGCGCGCCAAAAGGCATGCGCAAAGTTGGAGGCGGCTGAAGGCGGCCTCTCCGCCGTCTGTTTCCCCAGCCTGAGCGCGCACAGCCGGGCATATGGACATTTCGCGCTCCGCATCTGTGTCATCAGCTGCACTTTCTGTGTGTGTATGTGTGTGTGTGTGTGTGTGTGTGTGTGTGTGAAGCTGGGCGCTGGGAACAAACGTGCATCTGTTAAATTCGACAATAAAGTCCTACAGCAAAGCTGCCAAGATTGGAGCAGCGGGTGGGGGCGGAAAGCCGAGGGGGTGGGAGAGAGCTGGGGTCTCAAAAGGCGACGCCAAAGTGCCTGGCCCAGGTATTATGTCGGGAGAAGGTGAGGAGAGCAGCTGCTCCTTCTCGCGGGCGTGTATGGGAGCAAGGGTGCCTGTGTCCCTGTGAAGAGTACACACCGATCTGCTCAACATATGTCGCCACAAATCACTGTATCTCTCCCTCCTCCCCCACTCCCTCCTGACAGAGGGCAGAGCAGAAAGAGGCGCTGAGAAGAGGCGCCGCTTCAACAGGTGTCTTAGTGCGCAATGCACCTTTTCACGCATTCACTGTCTGCATCAGCGGCGGGGACAATGTGGACACTTTGTTTCCAGGCGCAATGCGCCAGCTTCGGACGCAGGGGGGGAGGCGGCCCTGGGCAGGGAGGAGGGTCTGGAAATAAAGACCTCAGGGGCTCCTGGGGTCCCGGGCCCTCTCCTCCCTTTGTTGGAGAACTCCCTGGGCCAGAGCTTCCTTGTGCGCCCTTGGGGGTGGCATATGGCGCCCTCTCACCTAACCAAGAAAGAGAACCAGTCACCCACTCAAGAGCGCACGAGGTCCCTGAGCCCGGGGAGGGGGAGTCTCTGAGGGAAAGGCTCTTTCCCAAAGTGAATGAGGAGCCCGCCTTATCTCTCCCCACCCCACCAGCGCCTTCCCCTCAGCTGGCGCAGCAGGCAGCAGCCGTTGGGTGGGGAGCAGCGGCCAGGCAGCACCAGCCTGCGGAAGCGCCCCAGCTCCCGGCAGATGAAATATGGGGCTGGTGAGCCCCTGGAGACCATATGTTTTCAATAAAAGAAGACAAATAGGACCGAGATAGGCCTTGCAGCCAACCTGTTATAAATGGGTGGCAATTGGGCCAATGTACACGGCCCCCGGGGGGAGGCCTGCTCGGTGCCAAATGCATGTGTCAGCTTCTGGGACAGGTGTGCCCAGGGGCCAGGGGCCAGGTCTCCCCCCTCTGGGTTTATCACGGCCAAGGTAATATTGTGCTAACTATGAGTAAACAGTCATTGTGAAAACCAGGGAGAGTTTATCAGAGGCGAACTAGTTGGGGGGTGGCTTAACAATAAAGTTGCCCGCCTTGGGAGCAGGTGACGGCTGGCTGCGGGACTCCCGTGGTAGATGTTTTCCAAAGCACTCCACTTTACAATCTCTTGTAATTATTTATTAAACGAAATCTATTTATTATTATTTTAGCAAACACTGGAGACAGGTGGGGCTTTCTTTTCGTCGTCCCCTTTTGTTTGAAGGGCTGTTTGAAGTGGCCAGTCTCGGCCCGGGCAGCTCGCTCGCCAGATTTTTGTCTTCTGCTCTTTCAGTGCCGAGCGAAGGCGAGAGAAAGAAGCCCCCTCCTCGGTCAAGCCATTAGCTATTCAGCCTCCTGTGGCCCCCCTCCCTCCCACTCCTTTCTCGAGGAGCCCCCAGGCACTGCTAAGATTCCCCCTGCAGATAGGAAGGCAAAAGGGTGGACCGCTGCCTTCCTTCTTTTCCAAGCTGCCCGCCGTCTCTAGGCGTCAGGCTGTCGCCTCTCTCCTGGGGCCCCTCAGCCTCAGGCAAGCCCGGACCTCAAAGAGTCGGCGGGCACGGGGGTCCTGGAGGCACCAGAGGTGGTAGCTGGCCGGGGTCTTCAGGAACAGGCTCTGCTCCCCCGTTGGAAGAGCTGGCGCACAAATACCGCCAGCGCGCACTGAGTTGTCACCGACTGCGCCCCAGCCGGCAAAAGCACAGGAATTAACTTTGGAGAGGGGTCTGTGCTTCCTCTGTGGCAGAACGGGAGGGCGTAAATCCTCAATGTCTAATCCCCTAAGGACTCCTCAACCTCCAGCCTCGCCCTCCTGGCCAGAAGAAGGGGAGCGGAGAGTTCTCTCCCGCTGCAAGATGACAGCTGCCCCGGGGCGCTGCGCGCTCCTCGCCTTGTTTTTTGCGCAAAGCTGGGAAGTGGCGGCGGCGGCCTGGGAACCTTGGAGAACCTCGAGTGGAAGGGATCTGGGGAGGCTAGATAAGAATTCCAGGCCGGCCCTAGAATTCCTCCCCACAAGAAGGGTCCCAAGAATCCCCAGAATCTCTCCTGGTGCCGGAAGCTCACCGGGAGGCTGTCTCCAGCACCCAGTAGCCCCTGGAGGCAAGAGGGAGCCGATTTGAGTCCCACCTTTGCTTCCATCTGAGAGCCACCACTACATGAAGTCCCGGTTGTGGGCTGCTCCCCAGGCCTCCAGGGACACGGAGAGGTGCTTTGATCCCTTATGGCCGGGGTTCCCTCCACCAAGTGGGGCTGGGTCGCAGAGAGCTAGGAAAGCTGTCCTCTGGGTTTCCTCTCTCTGTTCCTGGTTTGCAGGATGGAAATCAATCAAGGCTGGGGTATGGGTCAGGAGAGTAAAGAGATGGAACAGGAGGGGACACTGGCTCCCCTTGGCACTGGGAGATGGGGCCACTACCCCTTTTGTATTCTGACCCTGTCGTAACTCACAGACCCACGAATTCTCCTACTTCCTACATGTTGGGATGTCTGATTTT